GATTTTGGTTTGGAAAAACGAAAGGAAGGAGTTGCACTGTTCGGTGGTGAAGGACGAGGTGGCGTTGTCACAGGGTTTGAGAAGTTTGCTGATGGTGGAGAAGAGACGCTTGGGGTTGCTGGAGCCAGACTGAATGAGTTGTGAGTACTAATTAGACCGGGCTGCTTTGAGTGCGTTACTGTACTGCTGGAGATAGTCTTTGTAGATTTGAAGATGGACTGTTTGTGTGGTTTTCTTATGTTGGCGTTCAAGTTGACGTTTCCTTGATTTCATTTGGCGGAGTTCGGGGGTATACCAGAGGGCGGAGTGCATGAAAGAGAAATGTTTTGTTTTTGTGGGGGCCAGTTCATTGAGACAGAAGGAGAGGGTGCTGTTATAATAGTCCACAAGTTCAGATGGGTTTTCAGAAAGTGGGGGGGGGGAGGCAGACATCTTGCAGGTAATGGAGGCAGTGATTGCTGAAGGTGAGATGGATTTTAGGTTTCTGTAGGTTATTGTGCGTTTTTGCTTTTGGGCGGGGATGGGGATGTTGATGTCCATGATGATGGCAAGGTGATCAGAGATGTGGAGATTGAGGCTGGACAGATGATGGATGCTGAGACCAGTGGAGCAGACCAAGTCCAGGACGTGACCAAGGCTGTGTGTTGGGAAGTTGATGTTAAATATATGCATAACTTTAAGGCTTAATATTAATCAAACAGATGAGTTGAGAAAATATTCACCCCCCCCCCAATCCATATTCATGAAGGGGGGATCTAACTAAACAGATAATATGTTTTTTTGAACCACGATGTAAACATGTTTATTTCTGCTGTAAAGTTGGGCATTTTAACATGGGGGTCTATGGAAATTGCTCCCTTCTGCAGACTGCTCCTACTGGCCACTAGATGAACTGCAGTTTGAGGCACTTCCGTATTAGCGTCCCGGCTCTTCCCCAGAGTTTGCCGCTTGGTTTACACTCTTAAACTCTGATGCTAGTCTTACTGGCCCCCCAGCCCATCTCAGGATGAGTGTTCTGTTGTAACAGCTTGACTCTCTTCTCTCTGCAGGGTATGATCTATGTGGGCTCCTCAGAGGGGGTGGTGAGGGTTCCAACAGCAAACTGCTCCTTCTACTGGACCTGTCCTCAGTGTGTCCTGGCCCGGGACCCCTTCTGTGGCTGGGACCCGGCCAGCAGGGCCTGTGTGGGGGCCTCCAACAGCCAGGCCAGTCTGTGAGTGCCAAGATACTTTCACTGTCATGTTGGAAGGGGGGGATTATGATGATATATGATACTGCTTTTTAATAAAGAACGTCTTAAGGCTACATATTGCATTAAATGTCATTGTACACACTTGTACACACTAGTAACAACCATGTGTTTAAATCAGTCTCTGTCCCACTATGACCATGTGACTGTTCTCCGTCCTCAGAGGCCAGGATGTAGACAGAGGGAATGTTGAAGAGGCGTGCAACAGTGTTTCATTCTCACACAGAGCCCGGTTCAGTCCAAACAAACTGCCTGCAGGTGAGTCACTTGTTTCAGTCTATGGCAGGTTAAACAATATATAAAGCATTATTCATAGAACATCTACATTTCCCATTAGATGATTCTGATTATCCCACGAAGGCTGGCAGTTTATAGATATCTGGTGACGCTGTGAAGAGAATATGGAGGGTCTTGGTGTTTTGTGGGCTCAAGGAAAGGGGGGCTAAAGCAATTTTTTGTGGTGGCGAAACGGCGGTACTACAACTTCCGTGTCAGTTTGTGACGTCACTGAGCCAAAAAAGAGTTTTCCATTGACTTACATTGGGAAAGAGACAACATTTTATTTAGGAAAATCTAATTCAATGCCTGAACACTGTTATAGCCCTTATTAAAATTAATTGGACTTAAAAGTTGTAAAACGCTGGCGGTTATGTGGGAACAAAGAGGCAAATCACACACACATTATCTGGGAATGTGATCAACTAAATACTTACCGAGAAAATGTGAATGCTGCTATCAGACACATTCTGGGTTATTCAATACCCAAGGACTCCAAAATGTTATACCTTTTTGAAATACAAATGATTGTGTGTTTGATAATGATAGGTACTTATCTAAGATGCTGTAAATGCAAGCAAGAAAGCAATAACAAGAAACTGGTCTAAGGCTGAGCCCCCTACTAAACAGCATGGATATTATAAGCTAGGTCTATATATTAAATCCAACATGTAAAAGACAAAACCACTTATTACTTTTCAAAACTACTTCCGTCAGTGGTCTTGACTCGGTTTGCATTTATAAAGAATGCCCAAATGTGTTTAATCGTTAAT